ACCTATGTAACCTAGGCTTTGATACCAACTTGTCACGACCCAAATACCTAACAAGTCGTGATGGCACCCATCGTGGAACTAGGCAAGCCGACATTCCCAACTTGTGAGCTAAAGGAATTAAATTAACTGAAGGTTTACATAATAACGGGGTAAAAAACCAAAACACAAGTGCGGAATGATAGCCCGACATCGGAGTGTTACTAAGTCATGAGAATCTAATAACCAATCTAGAAACAAAGTCTACTACAGTCTATGCCAAATGCCAATACAAGAGAGAAAAGATAATAAAAAAGGAGAAACAAGGACTGCGGACGACGACAACTACCTTGTAAGTCTCCGATAATTAGCTCGTGCACGAACCCAGCGACTGCCAGAACCGTATACACCTGGATCTACACATGAAGTGTAGGGTATAGCATGAGTACAACCAACTCAGCAAGTAAAAGAATTAAATAAGGAACTGAGAAGCAGTAACGAGCTATAAAAATACAAATCATTTCAAAAATTTTCAGTAAAGAGTGAACATGCTTTCAAATCCGGTGGTATAAGTCAAATCAGTTCGAGCTCAAGTAAAACAAATATGAATCTTCCAGAATTTTCACAACAACAAGAGATAACAACTAAGTGCTACAATAAAAAATTAAAAAAAAAGTACAGCCTCTCAAGGCAGTAGTCACTCAACTCATCTCAATAACTCATACTTTCGGCTATCAGCCCTCAATGCACACTTAATAGGTACCTGCTCTCACTGAGGGTGTACAGACTCCGAAGGGGCTCCTTCAGCCGAAGTGCTATATTGCTGTGGCATGCAACCCAATCCAATATTATTGCGGCGTGCAACCTGATCTAATATTGTTGCGGCGTGCAACCCGATCCAATAATATATATATTTATATAGCCCGAAGGTATGTTGCGGCGTGCAACCCGATCCATATATCTCGCGGCTCGTAGCTCGGCAATCAGGCCCTATCTTAGTCACTAACCTCTCCAGCCCCTCGGACCTAGAGAATATCATAATAATTATCCCAAACAGAGAATACAACAAGTATAAACAAGAAATGAGAGGGAACAGAGATATAACATATAAGTAAGACTGTGACTGAGTACAATACAGCAATTAGAAATCAATTCAATAAGTATACGACTGCTGCAAGTCGCAACAGTGATATCATATGGCCTAAGCATGGTTTCTAATATGAAAGGCAGTCAATTGCTCAAAGACAAGGAAAAACAAGTAATAGCAATGGCTATCCGACTTTACAGTCTCACGGGATGGACCAAGTCACAATCCCTCACGATGCACGCTCACACGCCCATCACCTAGCATGTGCGTCACCTCCAAATATTCACATCATACCAATTCTCAAGGTTTCATACCCTCAAAATCAGATTTAAGACTGTTACTTACCTCAACCGCGCAGATTTCCTACTTCGAAATGCCTTTGCCTCTCGAATCGGCCTCCAAATGCCCCGAATCTAGCCACACACAGTACAATATAATCAATATTGGCTAAAAGGATCAATTTCATAAGAAAACTACTAAAATATAGTCCAAAATCCGAAATTGGCTCAACCCGCCCCCTGGGACATCTCGAAACCCGATGAAAGTCATAAAACCCGATAGCTCATTCACTCACGACTCTAACCATATCAAATTTATCAAAATCCAACCTCAATTGCCCCTCCAAAATCCCAAAATTCACTCTCCAATTCCCAAGCCCTAATTTCCCAAATCTCACCTCAAACATTCACCAACTAGGTGTAAAATTAGTGGAAAAACACCATTATTGAAGATAAATAGGCACAAGGAACTTACCTCAGTGATTACTCCGAAATCTCTCTCAAAATTCCCTAATTCTGAGCTCAAAAATGATGAAAATGGTGAAAAAGCTCGAAGTAATCTATTTATAGGTTCTGCCCAGACTTCTCGCACATGCGGCTCCATTTTCGCATTTGTGGAGCCGCATCTGCGGGCAAAGCCCCGCTTCTACGGAAAAATCCCTAAACACTGCCTCCGCTCATGCGATCAAGTGACCGCATCTGTGCTTTTCGCGGATGCGGGAACTACATCGCACATGCGGTCAAAAGACGCACTTGCGCCCCTAAATCTGCTTCTGCGACCATCACAAGTGCGGGAATTCCATCGCACATGCGACCTCTGCCCAGATCCTCCTTAGCCGCATCTGTAGCTCCTCATTCGCTTCTGCGGGCTCGCACCTGCGGTTCCCACTCCGCAAGTGCGGTTACACCAATAGTAGCAACTTCAGCTGCAATTCCTCAACTCCCATCAAGCCGTTAACCACTCGAAATCAACCCGAGGCGTCCAGGACCTCAACCAATCATACCAACAAGTCATATAACCCCCATGCGAACTTAGTCGAACCTTCGAATCACTCAAGACAACATCGAAACACTAATTACACGTCGAAACCTACCAAACCACGTCCGATTGACCTCAAACTTTTACACACAAGTCAAAAATGACACCACGAACCTATTCCACCTTCCAGAAATCCAATCTGACCCCGATATCAAAATTTTCACTGTCGGCCAAAATCGCCAAAATTTTAACTTTTGCCAAATCAAGCCTAATTCTTCTACGGACCTCCAAATCACATTTCGAATGCGCTCCTATGTCAAAATCACCTAACGGAGCTAACAAAACTATAAAAATTCAAATCCGAGGTCGTTTTTCCACTAGTCGACACCCGATCGACTTTTCCAACTTAAGCTTCCAATTAAGAGACTAATTGTCTCAATTTACTCCAAAACTACTCCGGACCCGAACCAACCAACCCGTTAAGACATAATACAGATGTAAAGCACGAAAGAAGCAGAATTGGGAGAAACGGGGCTATTACTCTCGAAACGATATGCTGTGTTGTTACAGTAGCAGATGACACACGCTTGTAAATGATTAAGCGAGTAGAATAAGTATGCTTTTTTATTTTAATCAGGAATCTATTTCTTAATCCCTAGGTTAAACAACTTTGTAATTGCAATCAAGAATTCTCTTTTTTCAAGTTCAATTCATAATTCATACATAGTATTTAGTTCTTAAAACCAAGCAATGTTTGCTAACAGAACAAGTTACGACACAATGTTTTGCTCGCTCAGATTTTTGCAGGTCTAAACATTTTTTTTTGGCACATAACATAGAGTGCATTTTGAGTTCCAATAGAAAGTTCACACAAACCGTATCAAAAAGCACGAAGCCCGTTAGCGAAATGTCATTCGTCTTTTTTACCCCTTTAAATTAGAGTTTACACTGGACAAAATAGTCATTGTTATTTTATTATTTTTCTATTATTTAGAATTTTTAAATTAACTAAAATTTTAATAAATTATGTTAGAACTAGTAATATTTAGAAACTGAAATCTTTACATAACTAAAATATTCTTAACAAACTATAGAAGAAGGAAACATAACCGGGCATTCATGACTTCTATAGAAGTCCTTGTTTTCATTAAAAAAGATTATTTCAAAGAGAAATTCGTATTCTTTTATTTTCTCATAATAATCGAAAAAAATAGAGTAGGACAACCAAATTGGGCTTGAAAAAGTAATAAATACTCTCTGGTATAATAAAGAAAGCTTAATAATTTGAGCACCGAAGTTAGCCACCAAACATCTTATTGTCAAAATTTATATGATTTTAAAAAAAATTACTTAGTGAGACAATGTACACGCATAACGCACGTATCATAAGACTAAGACTAGTAAATCTAAAAGTAATGTTTTCTGATGCTCTCTCGGAGTTGACTAATAACCTATTTATACTTTGGTTATGCTATATATTCAAGTAGAGATTTTGTTTTAATCTATATTCATTCTTTGCTCATTTGTCGTTACAGTTAACTGAATCCTCCATTAATTCCGAATGAGCATTCTTTAAGTTATTCTTCTCCGTAAATCACTTTACTCTGTTACTTATGAAGGTGTTTAATTGGATTTAGAGTTTTAAAAAAGGAAAGAAGATTTTTTGAATTTTTTGGTTTTAAACGTGTCACCACATTTTGTTGTCTATAAAACTATGTCATCAAGGGGAAGATCGAAAGTTTTAAATTAAATTAATTTTTCAGTATAAAAATATATCATTCTTTTTCGGCATGCTAAAAAAGACAACATAAAATGAGATAAACGGGTAATGCATAACTGAGATTCAAATGTTCAAGGAATGCTACTGCAACATTAACAATCCAATTTGGAAAAATGAAAGCAACACGTGGTTGACTTGGAAAGTCTTTGAACATATTAGAGTAATTTCGCCCCCACATTTACGGTTGCAAGAGTTGGTTGATTTTTGTGTTCTTCAGTATGTCAAGTCTCTTTGGCCCACATAAACCTGAAAAATTTCCCTAAATTAATGTTATGTAATCTTTTGAATAATAAAAATTCATAAAAACATACTCTGGAACAAGTAAAAATTTCGAAATTTTTTTATGTAATTGTGAAAAGGTTAAATAAATATCTAAAATATAATTATGCAAAATCTTAACAGAATTAGATTCTTATTTATTTTTTAGCTCCAAATTAGTTGTATTAATACTGATATGCCGAATGAATGAAGAAAACTAGCCTTTTTAAAAAAAAGAAAAAGAAAAAGAAAAAGTGATTTAAATGGAAAAAGAATCTCCTAAAAGACATTTTAAATATCATGAAGACCAAAAAGCAAGATCTCATGGCTATTTAAAGCCTCAAACAAACCACATCGTTACTAGCCATATCATTTCCTACTATTTTATGCAATTATGAAGAAAGCATTCACCTCTTTTATCTCAACACTCTTGTTGCTCTACTATGTTATGGCCAGTTCAGCCATGACTCATACCAACATTTCCACTGATCAATTAGCTTTACTTTCTTTAAAATCCAAATCATTTCAGACCCTTCTCATTTCTTGGATGAAAGTTGGTCGCCTGATACTATTATTTGCCATTGGGTCGGAGTCACTTGTGGTTCTCGCCATCACAGAGTGAAGTCCTTGAATATTTCCAATATGGATCTTACGGGCAGAATTCCACAAGATTTTGGAAACCTCACATTTCTTGTTTATCTTGACTTGGGAAGCAACAATTTCTATGGCAATTTGCCTCAAGAAATGACACGTTTGCGTCGACTAAGGTTTCTTAATTTAAATTCTAACAACTTTAGCGGGGAGGTTCCTTCTTGGTTTGGTGTTTTACACCAACTTCAAGTTGTAACTCTTAGGAATAATAGTTTCACTGGATCCATCCCTTCTTCATTTTCTAATCTTTCGAAACTCGAAACATTGAGTTTGAGACTCAACTCCTTAGAGGGACAAATCCCAAAGGAGATTGGAAATCTTGAAAATCTGAGGATTTTAGACTTGACCGGAAACAAACTCATAGGTTCTATCCCGCTGACTCTCTCAAATGCCTCAAGGTTAGAGACCTTAACTATCTCTCACAATTTCCTTCAAGGAAACATCCCAGAGGGGATTGGCAATCTTCACAACTTGAACCTTTTGGGGATAGAAGATAATCAGCTAACAGGTTCTATACCATTGTCAGTTTTCAATATTTCCAGAATTGAAGCCATTGGATTTACAAACAATAGCTTATCAGGAAGTCTTCCTAATGATTTATGCAATGGTCTTCCATTACTCAAAGAGCTTGATTTATCTGGTAACAAGCTTCAGGGTCATATGCCTACATGCTTGTCAAATTGCTCAAAACTTCAAATATTGTCATTATCAGAAAATGAGTTTGATGGTCCAATACATAGTGGAATTGGAAGTCTAAGTAATTTGCAGTTCTTGTATCTCGGATCTAACCATTTCACTGGTATGTGTTATCTTATGAATGCTAGTTTTATTGTTTCTAATTATTTCAATAAAATATTTATTATACATGAACTGCAGGGATAATTCCTCAAGAAATTGGAAATCTTATTAACTTGGCGTTGTTAGGCATGGAGTTGAACCAGATTACTGGCTATGTCCCAATCTCCATATTCAATATCTCCTCACTGCAATATTTTACTCTTCGAAAGAACAATCTCAAGGGATCCTTACCACGAGAGATTGGTAACTTAACCAAGCTGCAGGTTCTACATCTTACTGAAAATATGTTTACTGGTACGTATTCAAAGTGATAGCAAAAAATACAACTTAAACTAGATTGAACTAACTAGTTAAACTCATTAGTAATAATCCTTCTTTCTTCATGTGTTGCCAGGTGAAATACCCAAAGAGATAAGCAATCTCGTTTACTTGGAGGAAGTTGCTCTTGAGTCTAATAATTTTAGTGGTTCGCTTGCAATGGAGATCTTTAACATATCAAGCTTGCGATTGGTTGATCTTTCAGCCAACAATCTATCAGGAACCCTCCCATCAAATTTAGGCTCGATCTTACCCAATATTGAAAGTCTTTATCTGAGTGCTTTGACCAATCTTGTTGGGACTATTCCTCATTCAATCTCCAATTGTTCAAAACTTATTATTCTAGAGCTTTCATATAACAAACTCACTGGCTTGATTCCTATTACTCTTGGATATTTGACTCATCTACGGTACCTAACCTTGCAAGGAAATAATTTAATAAGCGACTCATCACTAAGCTTCCTGACTTACTTAACAAACTGCAGAGATTTAAAATTTCTTTCTGTATCTTTGAACCCTCTAAAAGGCATGCTTCCACCTTCCGTAGGTAACCTTTCCACATCTCTTACAAAAGTTTCAGCCAGAGATTGCAAAATTAAAGGAAGAATTCCAAATGAAGTTGGGAACTTAAGCAGCTTATTTGAATTTGATATTTCTGGAAATGACTTGGTTGGATCAATTCCCAGATCAATTGGCAACTTAAGAAACCTTCAGCGTCTCAAGTTGAGTAATAACAAACTTACAGGAATTATGGGAGATAATCTATGTAAATTTCATCATTTGGGTGCTATTTACTTGGGTCACAATCAACTTTCAGGACCACTTCCTAATTGTTTAGGGAACGTTACTTCCCTTAGGGAGATATATCTGGGTTTCAATAAATTGAGTTCAAATATACCAACAAGCTTAGGGAACCTTAAAGATCTAATGATTCTTGACTTATCGTCAAACAACATGGGTGGTTCTTTACCTCCAGAAATCGGAAATCTAAAGGTTGCAATACGGATAGATCTGTCAATGAATCAATTTTCAAATAGCATTCCTAGAGAAATCGGAGGCTTGCAAAATCTGGTGAACCTTTCTTTGAGACACAACAAGTTGCAAGGATCTATACCCGACTCAATGAGCAACATGGTAGGTTTGGAATTCATAGACTTTTCTCATAATAATATATCAGGAATCATTCCCAAGTCTTTGGAGAAACTTAAAAACTTGAAGTACTTCAATGTTTCTGTCAACAAATTGTATGGTGAAATCCCCTCAGGAGGTCCTTTTAAAAACCTCTCAAGTCAATTTTTCCTTTTTAATACAGCGTTGTGTGGCTCTCGAAGATTTGGTGTCTCACCGTGCCCTATTTATTCTAAGCATAGATCAAATAGGAAAAAAATGCTTATATTTCTTCTACTGGGAATTGCACTATCATTTGTTCCTATTACCTTTGTGCTTGTATGGATAAGGTATAGGAAAGGTAATAGTGCTCCTCAACAAGCTGATTCATTGTCTATTGCAACAAGAGGAAGAATTTCATATTATGAATTGCTCCAAGCAACTGATTCGCTTAGTGAGAGCAATCTGATTGGTTCTGGGAGTTTTGGCTCTATCTACAAAGGCATACTCAGAAGTGGGACTCCTATTGCAGTTAAGGTATTCAATCTTCAATTGGAAGCAGCATTCAAGAGTTTTGATACAGAATGTGAAGTTTTGCGCAACCTCCGCCATAGGAATCTCACAAAAGTCATCACTAGTTGTTCCAACATTGATTTTAAAGCTTTAGTACTCGAGTACATGCCCAACGGAAGCCTCGATAAGTGGTTGTATTCACACAACTACTTCTTAGACATCATGCAGAGACTGAACATAATGATAGATGTGGCATGTGCATTGGAATATCTCCATCATGGCTGCTCCTCTCATGTGATTCATTGTGATCTAAAGCCTAGTAACGTCTTGCTGGATGAGAATATGGTTGCCCACCTAAGCGACTTTGGTATTTCAAAACTTCTTGGTGACAATGAGAGTGATTTATACACTAAAACCTTAGCAACATTGGGTTATATTGCACCAGGTAGTTTTTTTTTTTATACTTTGAACATTGATTTTCTTTCCTTTTTCCTCCAATATAAATGTTAATATTTTAATTTGTTTGAGTGTAGAGCATGGACTGGATGGACTGGTGTCAACAAAATGTGATGTATATAGTTACGGGATCATATTGATGGAAACGTTTACAAGGAGAAAGCCTAATGATGAAATGTTCGATGGGGATCTTAGCTTGAAGCAATGGGTGAGTTATTCACTTCCAAAGGCAATAATGGGTGTTGTAGATGCCAACTTAGTAACACCACAGGATAATCACTTAAACAAGAAGCTAGATTGTGTGGCATCGATCATGAAAGTGGCACAAGATTGTTGTGTTGAATCTGCTACAAGAAGGATCGACATGGAAGATGTTGTAGGGATGCTAAAGAAGATCAAGATTCAACTTCTTGCATGTTGAGAATGTTCTTAGAAACTAATATGTGAATATTGGTAGTAACACAAATTTTACAAACAATAAAGCAAAACTTTTAATATTGTTTATGTTTCTTTTGGTTTATTACTCGTGTTTAGTATCCGCTTTGTGGCCTGACTAAGTGGAATTCGCTTTTAGAAGTCTCACTTTTAGGGGTAAAGCGCTCCCTACCAAAAGCGACTCTGTACCTGGGGCTCGATTCTGAAACCCCTGATTAAAGATACATGAACACTTATCACTTTACCACAACCTTTGGTGGTGTATTGTTTAACTTGTTAGAGGAACTCCGTGAATACAAATAGACAAGTAATAATATAAATATTTGACATGGGAAAGACATTTACATGATACATTTGAAAAATAATTAACAAAAATTCCTTACGAGTTATTAGCAGAAATATAACAGTAAGACAACAAATAAATTAATGGCAATAGCAAAAAAAACAAAAATGGTATAATTGAAAAAACAGCCTCCTTACTTCAAGGTTTTCTGAATCAACCAATTAAGAACAGAAATATTATTATTTGGCCTCCTTAATTTCCTTCCAAAGAGAGAAACTTTATTTTGTTTTATATTTTCTGAGTAAATATTCCTTCATAATTACTTCCTTTCTCATGACAAAATTATTTCCTTATAGTCAGTAGGATAAGAAGTCCATATACTCACCACATAGTCTTATTGGTTAATCTTCTCAATTTTGAACAACTCTAATAACATCCCCTATCGCAATTCCCTTTAATTATTGAATTTGTACATGTTTAATCTCAAATTAGTTTAAGAGGTTAAATCAATTAAATTTATATTTTAGGGGAACAACAACCGATTTCATACACTTTCTCAAATATAAATGGCAAGAAATAATGAAAACAATGAATAGGGAAATTAAATATGGGATCGACTCAACTCTAGTAATGTTAGCTCCAGTATATGTCAATAGTCCTTCTAATGAATGCCACGTGGACAAAGAACTTTTGACGGTAAGATTTAATTATGTAACGACCCGGCCGGCCGTTTCGAGAGTATTAGTCCCGAACCCTTATTTATTGCTCTCTCTATTTCATTATGTGGTTACGTGACTTGCCGGGAGGTTAGGTTTTTGCTTTCGGGGTGAAATGGGATACATAGTCCCTAAAATAAAATTTTAAGTTGTAAGAATTAACCGTAGTTAGATTTGTATGAAGACGACTCCGGAATGGAGTTTCGACGGTCCCAATAGCTCCGTAGGGTGATTTTGTTCTTAGGAGCGTGTCCGAATGTTGATTTGGAGGTCCGTAGGTCATTTCGGCGTCAATTGGCGAAAGTTGGAAAGTTGGATATTTTTGGAGAGTTTGACCGGGAATGGACGTTTTGATATCGGGGTCAAATTCCGATTCCGAAAGTTGGAGTAGGTTCGTAATATCAATTGTGACTTGTGTACACAAATTGAGGTCAATCGGACTTGATTTGATAGGTTTCGGCGTCGAATGTAAAAGTTAGAAGTTCTAAAGTTCAGCAGGCTTGAATCGATGTGTAATTCGTGTTTTTAGCATTGTTTGATGTGATTTGAAGACTCGACTAAATTCCTAATATGCTTTAGGCAAGGTACGAGCCTTTGCCCTAACCAAATAACATGTCTGGAATAGATGAAACAAAGGAATCAACTTGGAATCAATAGATCACCACAAAATGCTACATAACTGAGCATCGATCTTTACCCAAAGTGCTATCACCTTTTCATCTCCTTCGCTAGACTGTTTGATTATATGATCTTGAAAACCTTGACCTTTACACCACAACTCGACAGATAAAGCCCAAGCTAAGTAGTTTGAACTTCCCATTAAAGTTTATGAGGTAATCATAACACTAGAGTCTCCAAAACTCATGTTTCTAGACCCAAAAACATCAAATCCCAAAGACATCATTGCAAATTATTACCAAATAAGAGAAAGAATCAACTGTAATTCACTGAAACAGAGTAAGGGAATACTATAGTCGTCGAAAACTTACTCTAGCTGCCGGAAAACATATTGTTCACACCGAAAAAATATAAAAATTATCAGAATTTGCTGTAACCTAGATAGGTAGACTCGGAATTCCCTTGCGAATAATCTGTCCCAAAGAAAGTTTTTCAAAAAGTGACCAAAAAAGGCGTGTGAGCACGTGGAGGGTCTTCTGACGGAGATATTTTTATGGGTTAGTCGCCGGAGGTCACTCTACTTCGTGGTGGTGTTGGGTTTTTCACAACACTGAGGAAAAATGGCTTTTTTTTTCTGCGGCAGACCTTTGTTTGCCGAAAAAGAAAGACTTTCGATTTACTGATTTCTCTTCCCGGAGTCACTAGAATTTATGCACAACAATAAATATCTCACGATTGCTCTGATACCATGTGAGAAAGCACGGAAGTAAATATATTATTGATATTGGATACTCAATACAATACAAGATGTCCTTATTTATAGCTATACTCTACAAAGAAATATTACTCATATTCCAATGTGGGACAAGACTACATGATGTACATATCTGTAAACTAACAGTATCCAAGCATTTATCATTTTCGGTTACATCTTAAAGGGAAACAACTTGTTTCTTTTAAAGGCAATACATATATTAACACAATCATTAATAATCCAATGGTTAAGAAAACAATGTTGACAGAATTTGTTCAGATGAACAGAACTAACAAAGATGCCATAAAGCTTAATTTATTATACAAAGAATTTCCTGAACACTTTGTATAGTCAACGATAGACAAAACATGGATACTACGACAACAATGTTACGCCGTTGTTCGTATAGTAACATGTCACCCGACCGAAGGAGAACGATATTATCTCAGACTACTATAGCTAAATGTGAGAGGACAAAAATCATATGTAGATCTTCGAACTATAAATGGGGAACAGTTACATTGTTACATTGTTATAACAGTTTAATTGATTGCATGTTAGAGGCGGCAAGTTAACAAATGCCATATAGTTTAAGGCTTTTATTTGCTACATTATTATTGTATTGTTATCCAGCCAATCCAAAAGAAATATAGAAACAATTTGAAGAGTCAATGTCAAAAGATTACATAGTGTTACCTAATGTTGAAAGAAAAGATATCCAATATCAAGTTTTAAATCAGATCAATGATATTTTACACTCTATGGGTCATGTATGTAAATGTATATGAGCTTATCCCAGAAGGAGTTCGACCATCTATATTGGAAAAATAAGCGATTGAGGTATTCTTTGAAAGGACCCTCAGGGTTAGTGAAGAGCTTATATTGTTACACAAAAAACTGAACACAAAACAATTGAAAGCATACAATGTGATTATTGACTGATTATTTTACAAGAAACCAGGAGCTTTTTTTTATTGATGGTCCAGGAGAAACTGGAAAAACTTTCTTATACCATGCTTTATTAGCGATTGTACGTAGTAAAGGGTACATAGCTCTAGCAACTGCTACTTCTGGCATTTCAAAATACCTATAGACATTGATGAAAATTTCAGCTGTAACATTAGCAAACAAAGCTCAACTGCAAGTCTGATTCATGATGCAAAATTACTTGTATGGAATGAAGTATCTATGGCTAAAAACGAATTCTTTATGTTTTTGACTTTCTCTTACAAGATCTTATGGATACAAATATTCTATTTGGGGAAACAGTTGTTGTTTTTGGAGGTGACTTTAGACAAACTGTCACGACCCCAAAATCACACCTGTTGTGATGGCGCCTATCTCGATACTAGGCAAGCCAACAACCTCAATAAATCACAGTTTCTTTTAAGATTAAAAATATAATATCTAAATTTAATAGAAAACCCCATACATACTGATATAAATATACTCCCAAAACCTGGTGTCACCGAGTACATGAGCATATATACATTACAAGTCTGGGAAATCCGGTCTATAATAATCCGAGGCCAAATACAATAAATAAAAGGATAGGGAAGGAGATACAGCGTCTGTAAAACATAGCAACTACCTTTGAATCTCTGAAAAATCAACTGCGTGAAAGAATAAACACTCACTGTGTCCGGGATCACCTGGATCTGCACACGAAGTGCAGGGTATAGTATGAGTACAACCAACTCAGTAAGTAACAATAATAAATAAGGAACTGAAAGTAGTGACGAGCTTCTCAGCTAAGTCCAAATACATTACTTTCCAACATAAAAAGGGTAGGCATGTTCTCAAGTTTAACATTTAAAATTTCACATCAATTCTCATATCAAATTTGACTGAAACAGAAAAAAATATTTTTCCGAAATTTCCAAAATAGTGATATATGACAGCTGAAATGCAACAAATAATGAAATCAATGCATCCTCTTAGAGTAACAGTCACTCAGTACTCCTATTCACTCCAACCTCACAGTAACTCTTTCCTCACAATCACTCGCACTCGGCACTCCTCATAGTCTAACCATACCAATTTTACCAAAATCCGACCTCAACTCGATCCTCAAATCCTCAAATTAAACCAAGAGGGTTTTCTAAATTTTTAAACATAATTCACACATTAAATGTTAAAAACAACCATGGATTTGGGTAATTTGACCAATAATGAGTTAAGAACACTTACCCCGTTGTTTTCCTTAAAAATCTCCCAAAGATCGCCTCTTCCCGAGCTCCAATCCATCAAAAATGGAAAATGGGACGAAGTCCCATTTTTAGAACTTAAACTTTATGTCCAGACCTCTCTTCTTCGCGAACGCGACAGGCCCCTCGCATTCGCGAAGCACAAAATGGTGCTGCCCAACATTGCTCTTCGCGAACGCGAGACACTGCTCGTGAACGTGATGCTTCACCGAGCTCTTCTTTGCCAACGTGATCTCCCTTTCGTGAATGAGAAGGCAGAAACCCACGCCCACTCTTTTTCCATTCGCGAACGAGATACCCAATCACGAACGTGATGAACAACCTCGCATGACCCCAACTCCTCTTCACGAACGTGAGACCCTCTCGCGAACGCGAAGGGAAAATCTTGCCTGCCTCAGATTCC